AAATTTATTGAAAATATGCAATCCTGTTGAAAGGAACGATAGAGTCAAAAATCTATGAGTTTCCCAATCCGAAATGATTCTTTCAGATTTTCTAGACTTTGGTTTTTTTTACTCTTGAAGAATCTTTCATTGATTTCAGATTATTTTCGATTGAAATTTGGTTTTTGCTTCGTGAACTCTGCGGAAATAAATTCACTAGAAAGGCAATAACTTGGTTAAACCATAGCATCTTCTGCTACTGGGCAAAATATGTACTCGAAAACCTTTCACCATTTGCGACGATGCTTTCTCATAAATGTGTTTCTATATTTAAAAAAAAAATTAATTTTTCTATGGCAGTCAATATTCATAGCTCTGAAAATTTCTTTTCAAGTTCTCTCATAAAAATAAAAACTTAGATCTCTTTTCTATTATCACAATTAAAAAGAATTAATTGATTTGATTAAAATAGATGTGAATATTCAATTTTTTTTTAGTATTTAAATTTTGGGAAATTCCGTATATTTTCAATATTAATATGTTTGCCATGTTTAAAGTCATTATAAATATATCTATGTAATTGCGTCTATTGATTTTTATGTGGTCGTTATATTATATGTTAACCAATGCATTATTTGGATATGGTTTCCTATCTTTTTTCTTCTGAATAGACTTCCTTGGCTTATCTTCTTTTTTGCCTATTGCTATGGATATGTCTTGCTTTCTTTTTCTTTCTGTTTTCGGTAACATCTAGATATTTTGTTTTTCTTGCTTGTTTTTTCTTTGCTCTTATCATTTTTTCTTGAGTCAATACCAAGAGATTTATATATTATTAGAGCGTTGTACTTGTGCCAAAAGCAATAACATCAACTGTGCTTATATTTTCTCGTAAAAATGGATGATAATCGATGTATTGGAATAATCGGCTGTGGAAATATGGGTCTTGCTATTGCTCATCGATTAACTATGTCAGGTTTTACTGTTCTAATGGGAAGTCGAAATCCAGATATTCGACAACATGTCAATTTTGAAATAACTTCAATTACTGATTGTATTATTCGTTCATCTATTATATTTATTGCAACTCATGCTGAACATTATACTAATACTCTTATTTCACCATTAGAACATAATCCAACATTATTTGAAGGAAAAATTTTAATTGATGTATCAAATCAATTAGATAGAAATCCAGATGGCGATGAAGTATCCAATGCTGAACGTCTTCAAATAGCCATACCAAATGCATATGTTGTTAAAGCATTTAATACAATATCATCATTTGTTATGGAAAGTACAACAGCAGGTGAACCTCGAAGTGTTGCTGTTGCTAGTGATCATTCATTTGCAAGAGATAGAGTAATAATGCTTGCTCGAGAAATGAATTTTGATTCATATAATGGTGGTTCACTTCGAACTGCTCGTCATTTAGAAAGTTACACACGTTCTTTATTTCCTCTTTGGAAAAAACCAATAATCCTAGTTTTAACTGTCATATTTATTTGGTTAACGTATACACTTTATTCGAAATTTATAAATACAAATACAACATCATGGAATCAATTATTTTTACATATGACAAATAAAACTTTATGTACAAGCGCTATAACTGTATTAGCTCTTGTTTATATGCCATCAAATTTAGCATGCATATTTCAATTAGCATATAAAACTAAAGAACGACGATTTCCTGCGTGGCTTGATACATGGTTACTTAGCCGAAAACAACTTGGTTTACTCACATTTGCTATTGCATTATTTCATGTTCTTATAACTTTAGTGCTTATGTCGCCTGCTTATTATACAACATGGTTTCATCCTGTTATAATTACATTACCATCTCATACAAACCAAACAAAAATTATTGTTTCAAGTAGTTTAATGACTTGGAAAGGTGAATTAGCATCATTAATGGGTATTTTAACATTACTTTCAATGTCTTTATTAGCATTAGCAAGTATTCCAGCACTTGCTAATTTATTAAATTGGCGAGAATGGAGATTTATTCAATCAAAATTAGGTACATTTACATTATTATGTGCTATTGGACATGTATTTGCTATGGCTACACCTCGTTGGATTGAACTTGGATTTACAAAATCACTTAAATCAGTTGGATTTCTTTGTGTATTTTTTCCTCTTATAACGATTTTGATGAGATTTTTATTTTGTTTACCTTGTTTTAGTCGACCAATTCTTCGAATTCGTCGAGGAGAAAACCCAAAACAAGTAGTCTAAACATTCTGTGTGTGTGTATATGTTTATTCTATAATATCTCTTTACCTTCTCATGTCTATTCTACTGTGTCTTGAAATAAATATGAAAAATATGTCAAAAGGTTATTAACATTAATCTTCAATAATGAGATAAAAGTATCAAACGAAAGACAGACATATCTGCGTTGTCATTTAGAACAACTTCTAGTTAAGATAAAACCAAATGATAAATGACTAAAAAGATGAATATAAGATATAATTCTATTTTAGAAAAAGCTCTAATATGATTACATACTAAATAAATCGAAGAATTACCAACAATTTATTTTCATTTTCAATGACTACGTTTGATGAATACGTTCATTTTTTTCTATGAAAGAGCATGTTCGCTGCCCTTGTCTTTACATATAGAAGAGTATTAGCGTAGTGTAATCTCTAAAGAAATCTTGATCAAGTTTAGATTTAGTCAACATAGCAAGTTTTTAATAGATTCCTTTCTCTGGAGTTTAATTTTCGAAAACAATTATGAGTGGACATTTGATATCTAACACTTCGTGCATATAAAGGTCACGATTAGAATACCTCATCTCTAAAGTTTCATCCATCTTCGATATCAAATTGATAAAAATATGAATTGCTTAAAATATCTATATTTCTCTTTAAGTGCTGAGTAAGATAAGAATATATTGAGAAATCCATATGTTGGATATGTTATATCCAAAACTGATGAAAACTTATATATGAGATAGTCTAATCGGAACATTCATGCACGCCAAGTTTTAGACTAATGTTCTCATAAAACAATTTTCTGTCAAATATTAAACTTCAATGAAAGGAATATAATGTATCATGCATAAGTTTCCGCACAAATATTGAAATCTGATTTGTTTGAACAGGACATGTTGGAAGTCTAATTTTTTCAATCACAGATAGAACAAAGAACGTACTTTAAAACTTATGTTAAGAATAAAAATTAACATTTACTTAAAGTTATTAAATTGTGATGTTTTCTACGACCACTAAAAATGGCTTGTTGCCAAGGTAAATATTTTCTTGTTCTAGCTTACATCATGTTAATAAAGAAAAAAAAATATTCAGTTCAAACTTGGAAAGAGAAAGTTGAAGAATCTAGATTTTAAATTTTAATGCGTATTCAAAGTAAGTAGCAATCTGCATTAAAAGCAAAATAAACAGATTTTCACAGTTTTTGATGAATGCTTTAAACGCTTGTAAGAATGCAAACTTTAAAAAATATCTTAAATGTATAGCTTCTTGAATTCTACAAGAATATGTGTGTAACATTAGAAAAACACATTATATTGAGTTCATCCATAGTAAAGCAAAAATTGCTCACAAAATCGTCCTTGATGCCAATATTAATGTAATTAGATACTGGAATAACTTCAAAGCATAGAATCCATTTGACTTAACCTGTTCTTTTTACAATCATAGTTAATATAGCTATTCAAAATTAATATTCCACTTGAAAGCATTAAAACAAACAGATAGCCAAGATATGAAAGCATATTGTATACTTTACTTTATTGGTGAGTGAAAAAGTTAGGCTTCGAGCATTTTTCAATCGAGCACAGCATGTCTCGATATTTTTGCGGATAGCTTTGCATCGTAGATTACTAAAAATTCGCTATCTTGATCAAATCTAAACATGAGCAAGAATCTTTTGGAGGTTACACTACTGTAGTAATTTCTTACTTATTAAAGATCAAAATCGAATCGATTCAAGTTGAATGTAATTCTCTTTATTCAACTCAACACTACTCTCTTCATTAACTCTTAAACATGAGCAATAAAATTCACTTCAGTATAGAGAGTTCATGTTCTCTCTGTCTTACCCGTTTGAAAAGTGTACCGATCTCGTTACGGAAAAAGTTTACTAGCTCAATCATTGCTACGACTACATGATCAACAGTACAGTTAAAAATAAATGTAGATTTGATAATTTATTACTCTTCGACATATCCTAATTCGCTAATTCAGATGACTAGTAACTTTGGAAAACTTGTCTAAAAATCAAATATTGAAGTTTTTTATGCAAAGGCTACAGAATTGGTCCAACTAAGACTACGGTATTATGAACTACATGTCAGATTAGGGAATAGAGGCATAGTTCAACTGAAAATAAAAGTCAGTGTACTCCTTTTCCTAATATGTGTATCTTCTTTCAAGGATTTTCTTCTTTGTTTCAGTTTCTATTATATACGAGCAGGATATGGAAGCAAACGAAGTGGGCTACCCAAAAATGTTTCCTTGCGAGAAATGAAAAATTCTAGCGTCAGTGTGTATCATTCTATAGAAAACAAAAAGCCTTCTTAACTTTTCAAACAAGCAAATACGAGGAGCACAAATTCTATTAGGACTTTTTCTTCTCTGAATAAGAATAATATATAGAACAAATATGCAAACGAACAGAATGAACCATTCGAGAATATTTCCTTGTTAGTTATTTTAACATGTGTTGATTAATTACCGAGAATTTTTCTTATATTCATTTGCCTTTTATTTTTGTATGATTTGAGCTTTATATGAAATCGAATGGAATAAACACATTTGTCCTATCAATAAATATTTTATTCGAAAGATGTAGATATATTTAATATTATTTTATAACAAAACTACTCTTCAATTTAAAATGTCAAAAGAAAGATTATTTTATTTATTGAGAAAGTTTTTTTTGTAGAATAATAAAATAAAAACCTTACATTTCCAAGCACAAAGGTTTATTTTCGATTATGATTTGTTTATGGACAAAACTACCAATAAGGAGAAAAATCAATAGAATGAATGTCATATCATTGTAGTATTAGTAAGGTTTGGTGATCCTCGTACATTTAGAGGATCATAAAGTAGACCTAAAAACAAAAGAAAGGACAGAATAAAAAATTGTGAAAAAACTCATTAAATTATCATATCTATACCAGCAATTGATGCAGTCATCAATGAGACCATATTACCAGCGATCAATGCACGTGGTGCAATTTTAATTAAAGTACGTTTTCGTGTAGGTGCAAATACACTAAGTGCTGCTAATGCAATACCCATTGAACCAAAATTGGCGAATCCTATCAATAGTTTCATTTAATAAAAATAAAGAAACAAAAAATTAATATAAAAAAAGTTTTACCACATAGAGCATAAGTCATAATAACTAATGAACTTTCCTAAAAACGATAAAAAATCTTCATTTTTGTATTTTATATATGTGTATACATATATGTTAAATACTTACATCCCATAACATTGAAACATCATTTGGTAATGTTAATGTACCATTTAAATACAACGGAAATGTATTATTTTTTATAAGTTCATTACGCAAATTACGAATTTTGCCAAGTTCTTGATAAGCAATAAACTATCGAATAGGAAAATAAATTATTTATATATTTAAAAAAAATCATATATATATACATTCTTACTTCATTTATGCTAACTTTAATACCAATTAGTTTTGATCCAAGAAGACAATCACGAAGTGATATACCGGTTATAAGTGCAAATGGATAAAAGAGTAAACCAAGTATATATTGAAAATTAACTTCAGGATGATGCACAAGATTAAACAACCATGATATTGATACATCAAGAAAATTGAGAACACTGATAAATGCTATCAAATTTGCAATTAGATAACCACAAATTTTTAATCCATTTCCAGCGCCAGTCATTAAAGCATCAATTGCATTGTGTTGTTCACTAGTTTAACAAAAAAGAAAAATATGCAAATAATGAATAATGTTAATTAGACTTAGCTTTCAGTTTTGATATTGAAAAGTACCAGAATCTATTTATCTTTATACACGAGCAGATTCTTTAAGGATACCCAATCCCTCATTTGAATTTTTTCTAATTTTTCTTGAGAGTACGATCGGTTGGGCTGAAGTTTTTTTTTCTGCAGGTATCTACGACAAAATCTCAGAAACACGATTTCTCGACTTTTAGTTAGAAAAAATACAGGGAAGTACCAGCTGAGAAAATCCTTTTTGAGTTGGTACTTATTGCACTAGAACTTCCAGACAAAAAAATCTCATCTTGATCGACAAAGTCAGACCAGAGTCTTAGGCAGACTTGATGGTTTTGTCAAGACCCTTTAACAACCTTGGAAGACCTAGTTTTAGATTCTTTTTCTTCAATCATAGATCTCATCACTTTCAATAGTCGATTTGTGGTAACAGCTTAACTCGGACTAGTTGTACTCTTCCAGAGGATCATAGGTGGTTCAAAAGTGGCGGCCTCGTTCTCAATTACAATCTAACTTCAACAGAATACACCAGTAATTGATGTTACTTTGCATAGATGTTCAACTCATAGAAATGAATTAATAAAAAATATTTTCATTTAAATTGTAGAGCTCAGACTGTTTTCATTTGAAAGAGAACTTTTTATCACTTGGGATCGAAGGGAAATAGCTTTGATAATTTTTACTTTGTTTGCTTTTTGAATCATCGAAACTTCAAAAGTCTGGAAGTTCTTCGCATGATTTTCTGGTGAACAACGCAGGGTTTCTCTAAACATTCATGTTTAATTAAAAAAAATTTTTTTCGTCATCTGAAGAATTATGCATAAATTGATCAATAAAAATAAATATGACTCTCTTAGAAAGAAGTATATTGAAAAATACTTTGTTCGCCGTTCAATCATTACCAACAAAAACACAGAAGTTTTGTTCTTTTATGTATTACTACTTAAAATGTCTCTTGTCTTTCCTTACCCAAAACAATTTTGTTTTGATTTGGAGGCTTTCATTTTTAAAGCTGTATTGCAGTATCCTTTATCAAGTGTCATAAGAATCGGAGCTGTTCCAAGCTATGTAAGTCCAGAAAAAATTTAGTTTCTTAGAAACAATGATATTTGTTTTCTTCTATAAATCCACTAAGTTCTATAACCTTATTATAGTGTATCATTCTAGTTTCAATTATATACATGATTTTTTTCATAAAGATAGTCTAATAGCAAGTCCTTGAACAAAACACTACATTGAAACATAGAGATAAACTATCAAAAAATATTTTTTCATAGAAGCAACGCCTAGATCTATCGAAATGTTTTCAAACATATCAGCATTGTTTAATATTATCTTAAATAATGTAATTATGATATAAAAGTAACAAATGATCAGGCAATATAACGAACGCGTGAAAGTGTGTGAGTGTATGAAGAGATATAGTTTCAAAAATCATTCGTAGAATCCCGAACAGCTTTCGAAAATTCAAACTATTTTTATAAATTTGTATAGGTTCCGGAGTGTCATCAATTGGAGAATGTTCTATTAACAAAAATACAGCCGTCTAATTAGTACTCCAGACAACTTAGGCAATATGCTCATGTATTTATTGCAAAAATCATTGTTTTTTTGACGAGCATTTTCTCAGATAAGAAACCTGCCTAGATCAAGTTTCTCTTAAATGATAAAACAGTGAAGTCAGGTAATTTATTCTAAATTAAAAACATATCGCATCACAAGGTTATTCTGTCTGTCGGCTAGAACAGAAATTTTTGCTGTCTCAATAGGATGAATTCAGCTAGAATATCACCGATTCACACTCAGAGACCTTCGGAAATGTTTAGAACTTAGAAGCAAGTATATGATTCTTGCAACCGATTTATGTCGCACTCAGGTTAGCAAATAAGGCTTATTGTTCTGATTTCTTTCATTTCCTAAAATATATCACAAAAAACTGTTTCCTAAGAATCTATGAAATGTATTTCCATTGTAAAAGTGAATAGATTTAAAAATTAAGAAATACAACAGTTTCTTCCAGTAGACTTTTTATTATATAAAGGCATCGAATTGTAAATAAAACATACCTTAGCGGCACATTTTGTACCGTATCCCATGATGTTTTTGTTTTATGTGTTTCTGGTAATAAAAGTTTTGCAAACCCAAGTGCACCAGGTGCAGCCATAACACTAGCAGCAATTAAATGATTTGCCGGAACACCAAAAAGTATAAATGTAGCAAGAACAGATCCTAACATAATTAAATAAAACTATGAAAATAAATATTGCATTCTAATTCCAAACCTGCCATTGTTGCAAAACCACCGACTAATACAGCATGAAGCTCAGATGTTGTCATCTTCGGTATTAATGGCATAATTAGCAATGGTGCTTCAGTTATACCAACAAATATATTCGCAGCTGCATTCATTGACTATACAAATATATGTTATATTTTTATTTATGTGTTTATATGCGACATGGTCAGCCTGATCGATTGATCCAATTTCTTTTCCTCTATAGCACAACTCCGATAATATATCATAAATCTATGATTTCTTGCATTAATTACAATACTGATAACATTGTTTCAATTATAAATCTTGCTCGAAGTCAGGATAATCGAACGTTAGAATCAAATGCATTATAATGTTTATCGACTACATGAATTCTGCAGGGAGAAGACTTTGCAACCAGGATGCTAGTGAGTGGATATAGACTTATCGTTTGATATTATTTAGGAGGAAGAAGAAACCCTTCTCTTTGCAATAAAGTGGCTGACTCTTTTTAATCTTTTTATTTAAAAATAGTTAATGTTCTATGAAGTCTTCAAATAAAGTTTTTCTCTTTCACAGAAAATGAATATTTCTTTTCGAAGAGTTAGAGAAAAAGCTTGTCTATTTTGTACATTTTCTTCACATTTACGCTATCGAAAATCAAAGACATCTGCTAAACACAGTAGATAGAAGTTTTCTGCGACAAAAGGCTGAGCACAAGTGAAAATTTAGGAGGAGAGAGAGTTCTACTTCTCTACTTTCTGATCATATATCAGCGTGGGTGTGGGTGTGGATCGACTCTTCCTTTCTACCCTCAACCATGCTCAGACTCGCAGTCATCCTCAATTGAATATTTTGCTATTTCAGATAGCAAGTACAAATTACAATAAGTGAGTTCGATAAAATTATATTTTAGCAAAAGATTTTATGAATAGGTCTGATTATTTTGGTTTTGAACAAGATGCATAGTTGAAGCAATAACAAATTATCAGCATTACAACAGTATTATAATTCATAGAAAAATCATATGCTTTTGATATTTTATAGAAGTTGTACGATTAAAAACTAAGAATTAAGGTATCTGACCAGACGGGTCACTCCAATATATATGATGGAGGCAAAATTAGTATTCGACTAGAGATTAATTCATATAGTCGCATGTTTTATTAAAATTAGAGAGCGATGCAACAGAAGAGAAAACTCTAATCATAGGAATCATGTCGATAAGAAGTATAAATACAGGTGTATCTGTTACAATCTAATAAAATCAAATATCTGAGTTGGATTGCACAATCGGTGACACATGCTGTTAGCGTTCGCGGTCATAAGGAGCGACGAACACTGTTAAAATGTGTTTTCTTCTCTCTTTGTTTATTCTTTGAGCAAACAAACGTTTATATACGCACATGAAAAACAAGGACAAAATAGAAAAGAATACCAAAATTAATCAAGGACAAAGAAAAGCAATACAAACGAGATAACAGACACGAAAATATCAAAGAAAAGAGAATAGATAGAATCGAGGTGTATGCAGTTAGAATACACTGTAACACATGCAATCGTAAAGATAAGTGCACTACAAAACAGTATTCAAGAAAAAAAAATGGGAGCTTTTGCTACACAAAATGTCATTCCAAGCAAGGTAATTTTATAAATTACTTATGAAGATGGAAAAGCTATTGCTGAATAAAAATAGTTAGTCTATTCATGTTTTCTTTATTTCTAGTCGAATCCTAATTGTCAAGCCCAAGCTAGACTTTCAATAGTATTCCTTAACATATATATATGGGGATGATCAGTCTGGCCGGATACCCCATTAATATTTTTTTTATTGTAAGGATAAAACATACTATTGTTCGGGTCATATGAGAGAGGATACCAGATAACCTTGGATTGGCCCGAACAATACCATGTTTTATCCTTACAATAGTAGAGAAAAGCTACC